GGTGAGTGCCTGAGGACACCTGTAGGACAGGGAAGCAGGGAGGAGGGGAGACGGGAGCAGGGATGCTTTGCTTATGCACCTGGAGAGCTGGTCGCGAGTTCAAGTCTGTGGTCTGTCTCAGGGAAGGCTGGCGAAGCTCCTGCCCAGGGCAAGGTGGAGTCAGGGCTGGCGGATGGCAAAGGTGGGGATGAGCCTGGAGTGGAGCACATGTGTTCCGCGGGCTGGTTCCCCTCTCCTGCGTCAGCCCGCGAAGGTAGAGGCTCTGCTGCCAGGACAGCAGGCACATGGGCGAGTGGACGTGTGGGGGAAGGCCCCAGCCAGGACCCTTCCTAGGGCAGGGAGAGGACCTGCTTAGCAGATCTTAGGCCGCGGGGCGTAGGGTGAGCGGCAGAGCAGGCACGGGTGGTGCAGAAAGGGCATCGACTCGAGAGAGCAGAAGCAGGCCCAGGTCTGTGGGGTGGCTTAAAGGAGGACTGCTGGGTTATCAGAGTGAAAACAACAGGATTCACAGGGCAGAGGCAGTCATATCCTACCTCACACCTGCACCCCAAAAACCCTAGTTTAGCACTCAACTCTCACAGACAAAAATAGAAAACTTTTATAAAAGAGATTGGTGCTACATTTTGGATATTTGCACAGAAAGACTTACTGAGACCAAAAGGTGTTATCATTAAAATATGTAGAAACCTGACATTGAAACTCACAGCTCTGATTCATCAAATGGCACCTTAAGTGAGAGAGTCGCGGTATGCTCATCCCACTGACAGAGGATTTGTGTCAAGAATGTATAATGAACTCGCATGAGGGTCGCAGAGGACGCTAGTGAGGGAGCGCTTGCCCAGCCTGCACAGGCCCTGGTACTGCCGTTAAAAAAGGAGGAAGAACTCACAGGGATCAATAGGAAGAGCAGAAGGAACCCAGTGGGAAATGGGCTAAGGACAGGAGCAAGTGCCTCATGCAAGAGAAATCTCAGGTGGCAGATATGTGTGCAGCCTCACTATGGTGAGGGAAGTGCTGGAAGGGACCCCGGGGGTACAAGTGTGGTGAGGGAAGGGACCCCGGGGGTACAAGCTGACTGGACGTCCTACACATGGCCACTGCCTCAGCCAACAGCTGGGTCTCGTCTCTTGGAGAAGACATTCCCATGCCCAGCCATTCAGCTGCCAGGAAGGGACCAAGGTACACCCTGGCACACGCAGGAAAGGAGACAGAGGAGGCGCCGTCCGCAGCTGGGGGGTGAATAAGTATGGCCTGGGACAAAACCGTGTCAGAAGAGAGTCAATGGACAGCAGGGACAGAGTGTGGGCAGATTCAGAACACTTCACCCACGAGGCATTTTCCATAAGCTGCCAATGTGCCCTGTGTGTCCGTCTCCAGAACACATGCAGAGGCCGAAGAAGCTAGAGCAAAGGGAGAGCCGGAGAAGGTGACCACAGTGGGCTGCCAGGTCTCAGACGGGGCCACAGAAGCAGGCGCAGACTGCACGTCGCCTGCCTCTGATCCGAGTGACCATGCTTCTTCCGACGAAAGCATCCAAGATACTGGGTGCATTTGAGAAGCAGGCCATTCAGAGCTGAGCAAGGGGTTGTCTCCAACTGAGCACCATAGTTAATGGGCATCTGTGCACCTGTAATGCCAGATTCGTGGGACCCCAGTAGACCTCCAGGAGCCGAATCCGATGCAATCACACAAGAGTCTTTATTGCAAGCTCGAGCCTGGACTCATAACCGTTCCTGACGCAGCGGTCCCAGGGAGTGAGTCCCAGCCCTTAGTTCAGTGAGGATTTGTAGGTTTGCGGGGGATACTCTATGCTTCACAACATCACACAGCAAATCATTTCACACTGAGGGAAAATCAAACCACAACTCTTAACACTGATTAGCAATTCACTGGAGGGAACAAGTTGGGTAGGAGTGATTGGCGACTTCAAGAGGTGGATACATTTGAACTGATCGGTTTAAGCCACGAGGGGTGTACATGCTAAACTACACGGTTTCCTAACAGGTTATCAATCACCAAAACTATTGGGAGGATCACCTGGCATTTCAGATGTTCCCTGTCTCACTCTGATTGGTTGTTGCTATGGTCCGAAATTAGGTCTCAAGCATTCTTTGGTCTTGCATTGCTGAGTCAAGGCTATCTGGTCACTACAGGGCAGGCCCTGCTCTGAGGTAGAGGCTGTTTTTTTTCAAAAATGGAGTCACATGAGTTTCTCACAGCCACGGTCCACAGTCGCCCCAGGAGGAGCCGACACTCACTGGGCTTCATGGGGAGCCGGCCGCTGGCAGAAGGTTCACAATTCCCTCTGGTCCTCACACACGGCCTACTTTGTGAAGCAGATAGTAACTTCCCCTTATTTCCTGGAGGAGAGAGAGTGCTCAGAGACGTGATGGGAACTTTTTCAGGTCACAGATCAGCAATATCTCCAAACTAGTCTGGACCCGACGTCTGTGTGAGGCTGAAACCAGGAGCACTGTGCAGAGATCACTGGTCTCCAGCCCAAGAGCCGCAGCACTGGAGCCCCCACCTCTGGAAACCGAGGGTCTGACCGGCCACATGACATGCCGTGTGAGGAGCAAGGCTCAGCAGTT